AGGTATATAGACCTTCTATAATGCTCCTATAACGGTAACTACCCACCTGAAAATGTCCTAGACTTATTTTATTAAGGAAGTATAGTCTCCTAGCTCCCTCCCCCTGACCTTCTCTCTGGGTGCTCTATGATTTAAACTCCTTGCAAAGGGTGTGATGGAGCTTCCGAAAAGGCCCCAAGAACCCCTTTGCCTTAATTATGGGGGAGATGTACCTGAAACCATGGTATTCAGAACCCTTCCCTAAACCCTAAACCCTAAACCCTAAACCCTAAACCCTAAACCCTAAACCCTAAACCCTAAACCCTAAACCCTAAACCCTAAACCCTAAACCCTTCCCTTAGTTGAGTCATGGAGGGGTCTGGGCTCTCTGGCTGCCAGATGCCGCGCGCCTGAACCAAACTTCGATGGCTCGCTCCACCAAAGCCGCTGCGCCCTGATCTTTCATGCCCGGAGGGTTTAGGATTTATACAGGTTTAGGGTTTATATACGGGTTTAGGATTTTGGGGTTTAGGGGTTTAGGGCTTTAGGGGTTTAGGGATTTAGGATTTAGGGGCTTCGGGTTTAGGGTTAAGAGGTTTAGGGTTTACCATGCCGGGTTTAGGGCACCTGGGGGTCTTATGTCCATGGCTTCTGGTTTCTGCAGAGTATCAGCATCTTGGAGCAGCTTTTCTGTGTTGTCTTCCCAGAGCTTACGGACATGTTAGGACTTACGTTTGCTTTTGCAAGAGCCTCATGGTGACGAACAAAGGAGCCGGCGCCTGCATAAGTGGCACAGGGTTTGGCTGGTATATTATAATTACTAGACTTCTAATGAGGATGTCTGAAGAATTGAACAGTCTTTAGGAATTATTCTGGCTTCAATATTGACCATTGCGAGGATGGTCCCACCTTTAGGCATGGGACTTACAGATGTCATTGGTTCTGCATGACAGCGGGGCGGTGCTCGCTCAGAGCCCAAGTTCCTCGCACCCCTCTCAGTCGTAGTCGTCTTGGTCGTCGTTGTAGAAGTAGTAGCAGCAGGAATTGCAGCAGGAGTCGTAGTGGTGGTAGTAGTGTAGTAGCAGTAGCACTGGCAGTAGCAGGAGCACGAGGAGTAGGAGAAGGAGAGACAGCGGCAGAGGTAGTAGCGGTAGCGGGAGTGTATAGTCGTAGGCAGCAGTAGGAGGAGGAGCAAGGAGGGATCAGGAGGAGAAGGAGGCGAAACAGTCGGAGCACTCCCCATGCACCTGTCCCGGCTACTGGCTGCCAGGGCGTGGCATGGGAAACGCCCACTGTGGCCAAGAGCCATCGCAGGGCCATCGAAGGGTTTCGGGCGCAGGGTTTAAGGTTTATAGAGTTCGGGGTTTAGGGTTCATCGTTCAGGGTTGCGGGCTGAGGGTCTGTTGATTTTCCTGCTTTTCTGCAGGAGTTAGAGCTTGGAAACTCTGGAAGTACATACATGCACGCTCATATCCTAAATATCTGTGTATAAACAATATAGATATACATATATATCTTTCTATCTACCTATCTATCTA